GATCCCTTAGCTGACGAGGACCCGTCGACGTGCATCATCCATTTCTTGCTTTCTCCTTTGGTCCCTTCTTGGATAAAGTCGGCTAGAGCTTGGGCCTTTATAGCTCGTCGTGGTTCGTATTTGATGGAAAATTCACTGAGTTCGACTGCCCATTTTACGAGTCGACCTGACACGGTAGGTCGACCCAATGTCTCACCGAGCTGGAAATTTGTCCTTACTATTATCACATGGTTCAGGAAATACGGCCTCAATTTTCTGGCTGTGAGTACCAATGTTAATGCAGCCTTCTCGACCTCGGAATATCTTGCTTCTGCGCCCTGGAGCACTCGGCTTGTATAATAGATCGGCTGTTGAGCCCCTTCAGCTTCTCGCAGCAACACAGAACTCAAAGAAAAGATTCCCACCGAGATATAGAGTACCAACTCGTCGCCCGGCTCCGGCTTTGTTAACAATGGTAGCTCGCTCAAAAACTCCTTCAGTTTTTCAAATGCCATCTGAGCTTCGTCACCCCATTGGAAAGCTTTTTTCTTGAGTGACTTGAAGAAAGGGAAGCTCCTTTCCGCCGCCCGGGCTATGAATCGACTTAGGCCTGCATTTCGACCTGTCAGGACTTGTACTTCTCTAACATTCTTTGGTGGGGTCATGTCGAGTATGGCTTGCACTTTATCCTTATTCACTTCAATGCCTCTTTCAGTTACGATATAGCCCAGGAATCGTCCTGCCCTCACTCCAAAGGAACATTTACTCGGATTCAGCTTCATTCCAAATGTTCTCAGTATCGTAAATGCTTCCCTTAAGTCCTCTACATGAGAAATCGAGGACCTACTTTTCACCAAGATATCGTCCACGTAAACTTCCATATTTCGCCCGATCTGTGATTTGAACATTCGATTCATCAACCTTTGGTATGTTGCCTCTGCGTTCTTAAGTCCGAAAGGCATAACGACATAACAATATGTCCCTTTGCTCGTCACGAAGCTAACTTTGCTTTGATCCTTAGGAGCCAAGGGAATTTGGTGGTACCCCTGGGACGCGTCCATCATGCTTAGCAATTGACAGCCAGCAGTAGAGTCGACCAGCTGGTCGATTCTCGGGAGGGGATAGTGGTCCTTCGGGCAAGCTAAATTTAAATCGCGAAAGTCAATACACATACGCCACTTATTTAGTGCTTTCCTTACCATCACCGTGTTCGATATCCATTCTGGGAATTGAATTTCTTTGATATGTTTGTCTTTCAACAATTTGTCCACCTCGACTTTTATGGCTTTGTCGATTTCTGCGCCATGGTGTCTAAGCCGTTGCTTCACGGGTTTTTTCAGGGGGTCGACATTAAGCTTGTGCT